TCTCAGCGTTTAACGGACATATCTATCTTGTCATATAGACGCCGGCACGTTTGACTGAGATGAAATGAAGCTAATGGTTCCTCCCTTTTTTTGCCCGAGCGGTTTGCCGTTCCTTTTGGATCGCTCGAAACCTTTGAGTAACAGACGGATCCAATTTCTAATAGTTCTTTTCATACCGCCCTTCACAGCGTATTCTCCCGCATGGCGAGGTAACTCCGCCGTGCGGATTCACATTTAAGATTTATTTTTGTACTTCGATCGTGGAGCTCTCATTTTCCGACGTACGATTTAAATTATATCGAGTTGAACGCCAATTTCATTAATCTGTCAATTATCTGCGCGCAGCTCCGCGTTCGAATTTAATTTACGAAATGTTACACCGTTTTTTTGTAGTTATAATAAGTGCATGGCAAACAATGGTAATTGCCTTCCATGTAAATCGGCAATTCTAAAGGAAAACCAATAATTCACTATAAAAGGAGTAAAAAGATACGCCATGTAAAGACGCAATGTATTATAACAGGAATAATTTGCTGCTCAATTGTGATCGATAGTAGTATTTATCAGGATTGTCTGGCGTACGCCAGATTTCTGTGTTAGTAAAAATTTATTTCCGCGCAATTCAATTTCCGACCAACGGCCCGCGTCGAATTCCGCTAGTTTCAATTTTACGACATCATATTAATCTTTTCCCTTATATCTGTGTGTATTTTTACGATATTTACTGCCGACTTGATGGATAACTAATAATTTGTTATGACAAAAATACGGAGGAAAATTGAAAGATTGCGACACGCTTTAACGGAAACAGCCAAACCGATCGATACTTGTCAGCGATTACACAAGACGTTCGTATTTTCCGCGTTATTAAAATATTATTTCTGTTCTTAATATCTGTCCCGATATTGTCATAATTGTCATAAAGGAGTTTAAACTATTCGTAAAACAGTTTTCGAACAAACATCCCGAAAAGTTTCTGCGCGGCGAGAGACAGACGCTTGTATTTCGCAGAATACATTGCGAGAACTTTAGGGTTAATGGCGCGACGAGGAACAGGACGGTCGACAATAACGCGGTTTATGTGAAGAACGGATCATAAATGCGCCCGGGAGGCGCAATAAAAAGGGGCTCACGGGGTGAAAATTGTTCCTTATCGCGCGCGCGAAGGGTTGTCGCTCGAAGAACGATTCGGAAATGGCGAAGATTAGTGAGAGCGGAGGCTGGAAAGAGGCAAAGGGAGAAAAAGAGACGAAGACGATACGAGTTGAGGCGAGATCGCAGCCCCGAGGAGCACGATTGCGCAAAACTCAGCTGCGCGCGGAGGGGTGGCAGTTACCGATTCAGTCTTATCTGGCTTCTCGATTTCCGTCAATTCCTTCGTAATAACCGGCTTTTTCGCGACTCCGAGAGGAGGCGTCCCGCGACGCCGATTATTCCGCGAGTTTTCGCGCAATTAAGATGACAATTGCAGCGAAATTGCAGCCGCGTTCGCTCACGAGGCGGGATCTCGCCGAGTGAGTCGCTTCTAGCGAGTCGGCGACTCGTAAGCTGAGCGTAATTGTGTAAAGACGTCGCGGAAAAACGTTCGCAGACGGTCTTTCCTTCGCGCGCTCGTTTCCCTAGAATTTACTCCTCGCAGTTTAGATCCGCATCGCGCTCGGCGCGTTCATTAATATCTCGTAGGTGCGCTTCTTTCACGTATAAAAACGCGGGAGATGCACTTTTTTAGCGAAGGGCCTCTTGATTCTCGCGTGGGATAAGAATAAATGTTGCGACAATTCGGGGCGGAAAAAAAAAACATTGTTCGAAAGTTTAGCGATTAATTCGACTCTGAGATACGCGGAGTTGCAAAATGGTAGTTAGTGGCTGAAATTTATGGTAATTCGGTTATTTGCGTCATTCGCGATGCTCAATACCAGACTGCCGCTCGCTCGGCAAGAAAAGTTCAGCCTTACGTCATTCTCGAATCCCTTATTTGAATTTACAAAATATGTCTGAAGAAGACTTTCTCGGCGAAAAGTTACAGCCGCTTCTCTTTTGATGGATCCGAGAAAATTTGTGCGTACAACAGTCGCGGTTTCCAGCGGTCTTGCTTCTTCGATAGGCGAGGCTTTTAGCGGAGACTTCGCTTTATCTTCCGACGAACTTCTTGAAATTGTACTTGAATCGCGAACCTTCTTTGTTGTTTCTTATTGTCTGCTTTCATTATTTTGTGAAAATTATTACATAAGTCCTTGATTCAATCTTATTTAATTAATATACAATTTTCGAATTTTAATATTTAATATATTAATTATACACGGAGAAAATTTTACATCAAAAATTACTATCATACGGCAGTAGCCGCGGACCATAAAAGGAATTATAAGTTTAAATATTATGGCCGTTATATGTGAAAAACATCATAAAAATTTTTATAATTTTTTTATGGTTCGCGGATGCTGCCGTACATAGTAATTTTTTATATAAAATTTTTTCCGTGTATAATTAGGCACATATTGCATTAAGATATTACGTACGATTATTTTTGTAAAAATAACTTCTTTTTCGTTTGACGGATGTATTGTCATTATGCAGATTCAAAACAGTCTAATGTTCTTGAAATATCACATTCTTGCGCGATTTCTAAGACAATTTTCCTTTTACAAAATTTTCAATTATAACTGAAAAACTAAGCTTCGGACAAAATTTTGCTGAAAAAATTATCTTAAAGAATGACATCAGGTTGTTTTAAATCTGTATACATTCAGGATATTTTATTTGTATCCAATTATTCTTGTGCTTTCCTAAAAAGATCTAAATTTATAATTCTTTAATAACTTTTAGCAAATATGATGACCTTTGATCATTCGCTGAACCATTTTCTCTAATGCAACTCGTTGCTTTGTAAATGCATTAGCCGGCATCTCTTTCGAATGACAATGCCGGAGTGCTGGTGCCGTATTGCCGCAAACACTTTGCCGTACGGCTTTCCTATTTACGAGCTGCGCGTGCAACTCGCGTAAAAGTCCACGCTCGTTATGACGGCGTCGTATAACCCGGCGCGTAATGGCAAAAATTCTAAGCGACAGTCGTGAATACGCGACGACGACGGCGATGACCCCCCCGACAAAAGAAGGAAAATCGCGATCGTATACGTCGTTACCCTCTTAACGATTATCGTCCGAGAGGCTCCTCTTCTTCGTCATCGTCGTCATCGTGTTTGTCGCGGGAGTCGAGAACCGCGTGGAAACCTGCAGCTGCGACCTCTCGCAGTATCCCCGCGTCGAATGGGGTCCGTAAAAAAAAAAAAAGTATAGCGAGCCCCATTGGCCCGACCTTAAAGTACGCGATGTATCTATTACGTCCGCCACAATTTCCGGTTAGAAGCTGCGCCCAAGTTCGGAAAGAAGTTTCCGCGGCTGCGGAGAGCGGCACCACTTCGTACGACCCAACTTGGTAATAGTTTTACGACTTTTCGGGCTTACGAGGTCGAGCCCTGTGCTCGCGTCGAATTAGCGGCCTGGGACCTCCGGCTCTTTTGAGTCCCGAAGTGCCGTGACCCCACTGCGAACAAAGCTTATCCGACATTTTCTCGGGAACGAGGTGATTGTACAGAGTGTCGCGCTACCGAACTCTGACTCCGCTCCTTTCGTCTACTTTCGGTACGTGTACTTTGACTTTGAGTCGATACTTCCTTCCGTTTATTTTCTTCCCTTTTCTCTCACTGCTTGCAGAAACCTTCGATATAATGAAACACTGTAAGAAAAGGATTTTTGTTACAAGAAGATTTGATAATATTATTGTTTAGTGAAAAATATTCTTTTTTTTTTTTCTTTAAAAATATATGCGACAAATATATATGTTGATCCAATATAGATAATATTTGATAGTTTTTTCCCTTGTCAAAAATATAAAACTTATTACATTTCGATATTGGGATTTCGTTTTCTGAAATATGTTTTGTGACAAAAAGCCTTGCCTTCTTTTCGTCCTTCTGCTCATCCTCAAATGATATAACAACATAATGTGATAAAAACCGGAAAACCTTCCGACAACACGATATATTTTCTTGTCCGACACACCGAATTAGGATTTCCGTATTGATTGGCTGGCGCGCGTCGCAAAAGGAGCACGAAAACACTAAGCTTTGGATTTCTCTACGAAATTGATTATCGACAGGTACGACGCACAATATTGGCGCGCAAAAATCGATTTCCGCGCAACGGATATCATCAATCATAATCTGCTTAGTTCGTGTAACCTTAATCACCTTAATCGATCCTGACAACGTCTATGGCGCAGTAGATATGCAGCCGCGATGCCGTGTACACATCTTAGTGATTGTATTCACTGATTGACTCGTCGACCATCGGCTAATGCTAATTCGAATTCCGATTACTATGCTGTGAAGCGGAAGTTCCCAATATCGACATATTGCGGACGCAAATAGAAGTTTACACAGTTAAATAGAATAATTGGCATCTTTGCGTAAAACAAATAATTTAACGACTTTACAACACATTGCGATTACAAGTTCCTATTTCTTATCATCGAATTGATCTTTCTGCAATGAAGGCACAATTTACCTATCTATTTTCTTTTTCCAACATTCTAATCTTTAACATAAAATATACTTTGGTAACTAATCTTTAAAGTAAAATTCCACAAAATGTCAGATAAGTGAGCAGGATTTTGTGCAGGATTGTGATACGTGACCTTTATTCGTCAATTCTTTTACGCCTTCCACGTTTCACAACTGAGAAACTGTTTGCGTCTTCATATTTTCGTGAAAAATTCATGCAGAAAGGGAGTTATGGTAGTTCCGAAACACCCTAGACATCCCGTTTACCAGCTAGAAACACCGAACGCAGCTTGCAACGTATAAAAGGGCGTTAACGAGGGGAATAAATAAACTTGCTGAAGTACACGAGAGGGGATTTTGCGGGCGTGTGTGATCAATATAACAACAATACAACAACAAACTCTCGAAAACAAACGTTTCTTTCTTGTTGTTTTAGCGGGTAACAACGTGAACGAACCACCCATCCTGGAGGCTGGAGGATACCCTACGGGCTTGCCGCTCTCGGAATCGACCAAGGTCGGAAAACAGGTGTTCATGCTGAAGGGCCACGATCCCGAAGGATCGCCCGTGAAATATGGCATACAACTCACGGACCATTTCGTCGTCAACCCGCGCACCGGTGTCATCACTCTGGCGAAGCCGCTCAATCGCGAGGTAAGATATTGTTTGATTCGGGCGCAGGCCTTATCGAAGGGAGAGCTCGCAAATTGCATGCAATCCTTATTGCGCGATGGATGTTGGGTTTGTCTTGTCTTGCGATATTCGAAGCTCGTATTGCAATACGCTACGTGCCATTTCACCATCCCGGTTTATTCTGCTAATTATTTCTTTTATATTGATGTACTACATTTATTAAATTTAAATTCTCTTAATTGGCGAAAATAATTTGCTTTACTAGGATTAAATTTATATTTGTATTTAAAAATTAGTCTGCAGTGCAGTAGTATATTTTCGACATATATTAAGAACAAGATCGAATGAAATAAATTCGAAATACATGATATCGCTTTTCTCTCGAAACAAATCTTAGGAAAAATTGAAAGAAATAGGTAAATCCATTCGAGTTTTCAATCGAGTTCTGTTTGGATAAATACAATTTAGATTGATGCAATTCTCCGGATTTTCTTTCTTAATCAGAACCAGAACTGCAAGCTGATTAAAGTAAAAGGGAATCGATAATTAAACTTAATTAACCAAAATTGTCGCTGGAAACTGATTACAAATTTATCTATCGAAAGTTGATCTACTTCACTCTAATCTCGTTAAATTTATTCTGCTCGGCAGAGTTTCCCGTATAATACATGCTATACTTACATTACTTACACTACTTATACTATTGTAAAGTAAACAGCATCATGAATACTGCTTATAAGGTTCACGCAACTACTTAAGCGCTAAGAGGGACACGCTTGAGTTTGGAGACAGCGTCGTCTTATCTCCAGCTTGTTCAACAGAGAAAAGCAGGGAACAAGTAATTAGTTAATATCAAACACACTCAGTGCTAAAGATACTACAATAAATATTCAGCGTTTAATTACTGAGTCAAAATATAATAATATATCAATAAAATAAAAATTAACGTTTGCGACACTTTCTATTTTCATTTAATAAAGTAAATTTTTATTACTTCCTTAAATTTTTCTTGCATTTTCCATTTGACTTGATTCTTCTCTGTTATAATTTTCGCAAATTATTTTGTTTATTGAATATTGAAATTAGATTGTTATTTGCTTTGCAAAATTGGCATAAATCAATAACTGTACTATGACAGATTCACAGTTACATTTTGAAAATAGCACATTAGTAATTTACGGAATTTAGATTTAATCCCAGCTGGCTGTAACTTTGAATCATAAATATCAGCTTATGATGCGCAAGCGATCGATTGAATAGAATTTACTACAAGCTTCAAATGCGACTAAATACAAATCGAATGAATACTTTCCCTTCGCGTAATTTTTATTGTAGCACATTTGCAGATATTCCTTTATTCTTTCTCTTTTAAATTAATCATTATCATTATTCTTTTGTTACATTAATAATTATCATTATTGCAACATCACGTTTGTGTGATTTTAATAATACATTTACGGAATAAAAATTAGTAAAATTGTTCGGAGTTTATAACTGAATAATTTCCGTAAAATATATTAATGTGCGTTTTCGCATGTACATATATTTTTGACAGTTGGACAAGACATTATTTTAAAAACTGTTCCGGAATATTCCGAAAAATATTTTTAAAATATATCTGGTCGTGTTCGCAAAATAGCGACGAGGATTACAAACCATTTCGCACATTTCGTGAACCATCTGCGCCGCGGCTGGATTCATCTCCGCAGTCGATGCACAATCGCCACCAATTCGCAACGGGTTTTTGTCATCTTTCGAGCGCGAAACAAATGTCGGAAATTTTCCGGCCGCCGGAAACTCCACGGCGAATTTCCAGCGGCGTTTCGGTCACGTCGCAACCGGCGGCATTTACGTAGCCGGTGCCCTACGTCGCTCAATACGATTAATGCGATTACGACGATATCCCCGGGACATAATGCAAGTGCTGCGCGCGTTCGTGGATTTTCGTACGTTGACCCATCTCGACCAATCCCCATTGATTTAATCTAGCTAAATAGGTTTGGGACAGCTCGCGCGGGCGTTCTCGCACGCGCGCCCGCACTAATTTCCGAATGTGTGTGTAATACGAGCGTGCATTAGGCGAGATTCGCGCCACGTACCTTTCACGGTTAAAATTAATAAACGGTCGCATTCGGATCTAATCCCTTGTTTGACGAAACACCATACGCACACGCTTGATGAAATGTGCTTCCATGCGTTTAACTGCAGGAATAATTAGCACAGACCGTGCAAAAATGCATTGCTATCAGTATCGTTTTAGCGCATATATGTATATTTCAGGAAAATGTATGAGAAAAAATTAACGCTAGAAAGATTTTCGTATAGAAATCAAATATTATTATTCATTAATCGATATAACTGGCGCGCAGTTGCATTTTTATATAAACGCCTCATTTTTGTTACTAATAAAAATCAACAGAGAAAGAACTTTCATTAATTGAAAATAAATTTTGATCTTCCACGCTGAAAATAATGAGGACACGCTTTCCTTAAATAGCAGCCAATTTAATTCGAAATAATTAAGGAACGCGATTCTTTACGGCAGCGAAATCTCTTTTGTTCGTGCCAACCACTTGTCGTGACCCATGTTTACCGCCGGTGCTAAAGATTCGGCAAACCGAGACTCGACGGCTCGGAACCGCCGCGACTTTCTCGTCTCCCAGGGGCATGTCGCTGCTTGGTAGAAGTCATGAAAAATCGGCGACGATAAAGTTCGCCTGAGAAAAGTTTCGGGAGGTCCCTGGACCGCAGGCGGGAGCGATACACTAACCGACGGCCGATCGTAGATACACATTTGAAAGTTCCGCGTCCCGTGCCGTTTCGTCCGCAATTTCACGAGTGACATATCACTCCGCGGCTTTTCGAGGTAAGTTCGGGGTCAGATCGATTTTGACGCGCGGCTGAAACATGTGAATCCTTATATTACCGTCTGTAATAAAATTATACAGCAAGCTGTTTTCGTCACACGTACCGAGACAGAAAAGGAACGAAGAAATTTGGAGTAAGCTTGAGAACCAAAAAGCAAAAATTATTTTAATCACGAGGCGTCGGTAGAATGTAATTTCGTTCTTTTAATTTTGTTGCCTCATCATTATTTCGTTACACTGCACATGCGTTTTATGTCGAGTTTGATTTGATTAAAACTATTTACACCTTTTTTTACATTTTTTGCTTTAACATTTATAAATACATGTGTACATTTATATTATTTATACGTTAATATTAATAACAATGTATTGCGCTTATTGCATTTATACTGTTTTACATGTTTTACATTTCTAAGAAAGACATCTTGTTAATATTCATATGTTCCTTCTCACATATATCAGTGTATAATGCGAGCAATCTAGATTTTCGTTTTAATAACAAAGGAAATTTTGTTCTCTTATGCTGCACAAATTCGCTTGCCGGCAAAGAACGAGGAGAAAAATTTGCGTATTGCAGCAGCTAAAAAGATGTACGACGTTTGCGTTTCGCAAAGAAAAATTAGCCAAAGCACGTGCAAAATCCACCTGATGTTACAACGCGAAAGAATCGCCGGGTTTATTTAAATTCATCTAATTATCTCGGCGAAAAAAGGAGATAGGAGGATTGAAAGAGGTTTTCACTACAATTTTTCATCTAACGGCGAAATTTTACTTTTGTAGAATAATTAATATCTCATCTATATTCTGAACTCTAATTATTGCATTTTACAATGCGAGAATTAAAACGCGCCGCTATCGACGAAAAATAATGGTCGTCATTATTATGTTACGTGCAATTGCACTTATCGATAAATGTTTCTGACAATAACGGTTTAAAAGAAAGATTATCTATCGCCGATATGTGTCATGTAAATTGAAGTTAATTATTTCAAATTACCCTTGCAGTATGGTCAGAATTAAAAACAACTGTCAATGAAGGAACTTGCAAAAAATGTATATATTGAAAATCAGCCATGCCATGTAATAACTATTTACTAAAAAACAATTAAAAATAATTGCTTTTGGTGGGAAAACAATATCGAGATAGCGGCACAGACAAATCGATTACTTCGAGCTTGCTCGTTTGGTTCTAAAATTCTTTTTTTTTTTTATATACATATATATTTTGTTCCTAGTATATCATATTTTTGTGCCTTTTTTTATATAGTATATCGGGACGAGTCTTTTGATTGCGGCATCGAAATAACGGGCGCAAAAATCTCGGTGTTCGCTGGGATTAATCGAAATCGTTCGCCGGGCACAAAGGCCGCAGAGGAATCGTAGCTATTTTGATTCCCCTTTAGTTTCTGATGGACAGCAATGCATACGAAAACAAACGTTTCGCTAACATCGTTTTATAGAAACAATCGGGGCGGAAAATCCTAACTCCGGCATTGTTGCGGGGACAGAGCATTCGGCTGGGCCGCATGATCGAGATCCGATCATGTGAATTACACGATTCTCGCTTTGCGAGGAGAACATAACGCGACACTCTAACATCGCGAACGCGAACCAAAGGTGATTATTACACGCCGCTGGCGGCGAACCTCCGACGGTTTTCGCGGCCGGCTTAATTACAAAAATATCATCCCCGCGAAATGGAAGCGGCAAGATCGCGACGCGCATCGCGTGCCCACATTTTGCACGGTGTTCTACGGATGGCTTTTATATCAATGCGCGGTCTGTGAAATTGCATGACGCGTATTATTATTATCCCGCCGCAAAAACCGCAGAATTATACCGTATTAATTTCGCAACTATTCATACACGCGTTATAATGCAAGGACACCGTTTACACGACAGACTTTCCCTTCTCGCAAACTCGCGAGGTCATTAGCTGCGGATTTGCCACCTTGTTGCTCAAGAAGGTTGAAGTAATACAATCGTAATACGCCGTAAATGAGCGCAATGCGCTTTTGCTAATTTCATGCATTATTATTAAATTTAAGCGAAATTATGCTGTCAGTTATACAGCGTGTTCTCAAAGCAACGTTAGATTAAGGCGATGCATTTCGAGTTTCTTGCATAGATATAAATCTATTTGCATACGTCAAG